ATCCTCGCGTATCCGGCGAGAGCATCCCTCGCCCGACGCCTCGGCGAGGGTGACCCCAGTGGTCGAGCAAGGGTCGCCTCGCCGGCGAGGGAGAGGGCCGCCCTCGCCTCGGGCTAGGCGGGCAATGGCGACCCTCGCGATCCGGCGAGAGCATCCTCGCCTCGCCGCCGACGCCGGCGAGGGCGACCCAGGGTCGGGCGAGTATTTTGGCCGGCCGGCGACCAGTACCCTTATTTGACACTTTTTGGGATTTCGGTACTAATTCAAGACTAAGTTCACTTGGGACCCATTTTGAGAAAATGGCCTCACTTTGAACCCCAAATTGAAATTTTCCCGAAAAAGAGAGAAGGAAAAGCCTCCCACCATTATTGCAATTTCAGTCGCAATTAAAATTCCAAAACCTAACCATTAGGAACTTCCAATTGTCCAAGCGCACACGCAACATAAGATAATGGTCTATTATCGCAAGGCACGAGTCGCTTTTGTTGCTATGTACTTCGCATTTTTTTCCATCCGAATATCTTTGCTTTCTATGGCAAAACTTGTGGTGCTCTGGTTGTTCGGGAAACAAGAAAATATGGCGAAATGACCGGTGGCTCGGATTCAACCGAGTCAAACAATTTGGCAAAATTCCCAAGCAGTACTTCAAGATTGGAAGTATCTTCAATTCACAGATTTTTCGTCCAATCATAGTTTAATTCACAGGGTGGGCTTCACGGATGTATTTTTTATTTTAACGTATAGATATCTGCACGCCTCGCACTCTCAATTCTCCCTGTATCTTTTGTTTTCTCTAAAAAGAGAAACACCCTCTAGAAGTTTTACATCTTAAAGATCCCGAGATCTCAACGAGGCTTGAGATAAAGCCTTTTAAAGACATACTCAATCCACGTGGTACTTTGGTTGTTCAGGGGAACAAGAATAGGGCGAAATGACCGGTGGCTCGGATTCAACTGAGCTGAACAATTGGCAAAATTCCCACGCAATACTTCAAGGTTGGAAGTATCTTCAAATTCACATATTTCTCACCCAACCATACTTCTTAGGCACTATGTATTACCATGAATGTGACAAATAATTGTTTTCAGTTCACCCACCGTCTTTCTAGGGGTTTGGTAATTCGTGTTATAGTATCGTAATCGTGTTAACCTTCGTCCTTGATGAATGACCATAACATGCTACAATCACACGTGAACGTCTATATATATATTTTTTTCTTTTACGTCTCCTACCCTGTAAACGAATGGTGTTGAGGGCATTCCTGGCCTTGCGAAGCCTAAACATTTTTGTTGATAATCAAAATATCTTCGGTTAACATATTTCTCTAAAGCTACAAGAACGATTAAAGTTAAGAAAATATTGTCCGCATTCCGTTTGTTTCGCAGAAAATGAATAATTTTGAAAACATTTTCTTAAAAACGATCTTTTATTTCACTTGAAATAATTAGTCAATAAAAAATAATTTTCATTATCGACAATAATTTATGTCAAAATTATTGTCGCGGATTTAGTTCATTCATTTTTTGTAAGCAATAAAAGCCATCATCTTCACGGAAATATTTTTCAAATCATTTATTTTTCGTGAAATAAATATATTCTAAATTTTCAACCTTTTACCAGTACTTACATAGGATTAATGCATTGACTTATTTTCAAGTGGAAACACTTACGAGGTGAAAGTCACATTAGCTATAGTTAAACAATTAAACATATGGTTTCCTCATCTCAAGTGGGTATATATAGATGGAAATCAATACAGCCAATCTATGTAACAGTCTAAAATGTAACAGTTCTACGCGACATTGTCACCGTAATTACGGGAGCTTTTCTAATCTTGAGAATGGTTTGTAACATTAAGCAAGGCCAGTTTACAAAATTAATTAAATTAAATGGTGGCTTCTAAAACAAGTAGCCCGGAATTATCGATATCCAATAAAAAAAGTCGACCACGACACTCGGTATATCAATTTTGTAAGTTCGTCTTAACTCGATGTCATCGCTCTAACATGTCTTCTGCGCTGGAAATGGCGCTGATTATGTTCTTTCTTGGGAGTTAAAGCAATCAACAAGAGGCGTGCCAAATGTTTAGGTCAAATGTAATGTCTCCAAGAAACCACATAATGCACAAAAGGAACTAAAATCGGTTAGGACATCGACATCTTATCTCTATAACAACATGGTTGATCCAATTGGTGACGCTCTCTTATGTCTTATTACCATCCTAGGGAATTAGAGGATTCCCGAGGAAGAAAGACTGATGATTCAAAAATTCATTTATTTGCATGCTGGAGTGCTTAATTTTTTTTTCTCTCATATGGTGTTTGTTTTTAGGGAAAATTACAAAAAAAAGTCATAAATCTATTACACTTGTACCAATTCGGTCTCAAACTTTTCAATTTGGTCAATTTAGTGCTGACTAGACCGCCACGTTAGCGTTTTCCGAAAAAAATTAACCGGAATGACTAAATTGGTAAATCGTTAAAATGTTTAGAACTGTTTTTGTTAATTTCCCCTTTGTTTTTTATGATCGAAAAAGCCCATTAAGTAAACCCTGAACCTATGCGTGAAATACTTCACTAACCTCATGGATCGGACAATTTGTGAGCGAAAAATCGGGATGGATGATCTGAACGTAAAATTGTTTATTTTGTTTGGTGTTAATAACCGTTTTTTCATGGCTTTAGGGTATTATCTTATCACTCTCACTTTAATCTTACATCTTATTGCTTCTTTCCCTAGTTAAAGGTTTTCACTTTTTATATAGTGCATCCAGTACCACATCACAATGTAAGTTTTAGTAATAGAACTTGGCCAGCGTCTAAGGGAAATTGATCGATAACGATACGTTGTCCATGGACAACTCTCTCCATGAAGATTGATATGTTAGAATATCTACTAAACTTGTTCTCTAAGAGATGCGACAGATCTTTATCGATTGTTTGAATAGGCCTACTAATTTCAATAACTAATGAAATGTGACATCGCTAGAATCGTTTTGTTAGTCATTGTTGTAACACATTTTCTAGGGGGATATCCAATAATTATGAAGGGGTTGTTAAAGACCGGGAAAGTCGGGCATTATGTAAAAAGATAAGCCCGGCCCGATCATAGTGGGGCCGGAGAACAAGAGAGTTGGCCCAAGCTGATCAATAGATTCCGGTTCAGTCTAACTGGGGTAGAGGCCCAAATCTTAAAATTTGCTCTCAATTCTAACCCTTTAATTTGATTTACCAAATTTTCAAAGATCTAAACATGCAAATACTCTTTCAATTACCTCTAAATTTTTTACTTTCTAGCCGTCTATTTTGATTCATCACATTTCAAAAATCTAAATATGCAAATCTTTTCACCTATGAAGCACAGAAATTTGTGAATCAAGAAAGCTTTTAAAGACGAGCAACTCATTGGCGACGAGTAACTCCTTCACAAATAAAGGTGCCACCATGCGATTTGTCGATTCCGCAGAAAATGCATTTAATATGAGCAAACAAGGCAACGTACAATGTGGAAATGCCTAGAGTAGGAGGTCAACATTCATTCTAACATCATCTCTTAGACTTTGCCTAGAGTAGGAGGTCAAAAGTCTACGCGAGGTCATTGAAAAAATTAACATTGTGGAAATGCAATATCCACAAATGAGTGAAGAAGGAGAAATGATGATGAACTCCCGAACAAACTTTTTATGTGCTTCCACGAATGAGAGATGGAAAAAGGTAGGCCTTAATCAAGTACGTTGAGGTTGATCCAAGGAAGAGCTACTCTCTAATTTCCACACAAGATTGTTTTTCAATGTTCGAATCGAATCAATGTAATGATTTAATCTAATTTCCACTAGGCGAGGGCTCGGCCCTCACCAAGTACCGGCAAGGGCCAGGCCCTCAACGGCCACAGCGAGGGTGTCACGGCCCTCACCCAGAGTCGGCAACGGTTGGCCGGTGAACCTCGTTGGCCCTCACTCCAAAAAACAATAAAAAGTAAAGAAAAGGAAAGAAAAAAGAAAAAGAAACCAAAAAATCACAAAAATATTCAATTAATTATTAAAGTATTATGAAAATAATGTCCACGTCAGCGCCAACAGTGCCACGTAAGATGACCGACATCCATGTCAGCAATTTCCTACCAAAATTAATTGGATTGACTCAATTGGCAAAACGTGAAAATGTTTATGACTTAATTGGCACAATTAAAAGGTTTATGACTAAATTAGTAAAAGTGAAATAGGTTAGGACTTTTTTGGTAATTTTCCCACTTTACATGTGTGCAAGAATTTGACATTTAAATCATTATGAAAAATCACTTTGTCATACAATATTTTTTTATTGAAAAATTCAAACAAATAGTTGTTCAAGATAGAAAAATATATGTGGGAAGAGAAAAAAAAATTCAATATTCTAAATCTCTTTAGGAAAGTTGTTCAAGATAGAAAAATATTAAAATTTTAACATTGAAACATGTATGGGATGAAATCAAAATATGTACAAAACATTTGCAAAATAAGTAATTAAGAATATGTCGGAAAAGAAAAAACAATTGGGATCTCTTATAAATAGGAGATTTTTTTTTTACTTTATTCAGTTAATGAGGGGAAAGAACAAGCCAGATAGCTTCTAAGTTCTTTGTAAAGTTCACCTTGTTTCGTTTTTTTATTTTTGGTCTGTACCTTGTTTTTATTTCATTTTATGTTATTAACAACATTATATTAATCCGAGAGTCCAAGACTCATTTGGCAAAACCCCAAACTGGTCAGAATCTTCCACCCCAATTTCTTGGGTACTCTGTCAATTCCATTGGCTTACTTTTCCACAGCCAAAGAGCGTTCTCCTAATCATCCCTTCTTCACGCGTTCATACGCTGAAGAAAAGAAATTTCGCATCAATGTCCAGAAAGAGACTCGTGCCGCGTCGTGAACTTTTTGTCAAGCGCAGAAGAAACTGTTAGGAAGGCCCAAATCGAGAAGAGAACACGGTGTCACTCTGTATATATGCTGATGCATGCATCCCCTAAACATTAAGAGACGAAATTTATACTGAGAGCTCCCAATCTTTCTCTAACGAAGTTCATCTCTCTCGTTCCCTCACCGTTTTTTTCTGCTGTGAACATGGCCACCATGAGACTTGAGCAACCTCACCACCACTGCCAACAGTACGTGGTCGTCATGCGCCATGGCGACCGCCTCGACAGCGTTGACCGATCATGGCCGTCCACAGCCCCCAGGCCATGGGACCCTCCGTTGGCTGAGGTTGGTCAGGCCAGGGCGCTCGAGATGGGCAAGCATCTCCCCTCCCGGCTCGGGTTCCCCATCCACCGGGTCGTTGTGTCTCCGTTCCGGAGGTGCGTCGACACCGCTCTTGGGCTGATTGCCGGTCTCTCGGCCCCAGACGCAGAACCCAATGTAGTGACGGGCGGCAGTGGCGTTGACCCATCAAAAGTCAAGGTCCATCAGTCTCTCTTTCACATTCATCTGAAAATTGTTCACTCCTGTCTGCATGTATTAATGATGCCTATGGTTTTGGTCCTTGATAATTTGTTTATAATAATGTCTAACACATTTCCTTTTTGCAGGTGTCTATAGAGTATGGATTGGGTGAGTTGTTCAACGACATGGCAATCAGACATCCTCCTCCTAGTCCCGCAGACCATGCGGATTGGGGGTTCAATATTCCTGAGATCGAAGCCTTGATTCCACTAGACACTTTGGATCATACAGTGAAGCCAGTGTTCAATGAGGTACAGAATTTTTTTCATGTTTGAAGCGCAAAAGATAGAAGAAATGACAAACTGTCAATTCGTTTTAAGAGAATAGACCCTACGGTGCCGAACCATATCGAGGACCACCTGCTAAGCTCTTCCGCCTTAAAATCTTTTGCCATAGGACTAGGTCAAGCAGGACCAATGGACAAAATTTTCGACCATTTTCATGACTTTTGGTTTTCGTTTCTTGCTTAATTCATGCTCGAGAATTTCATCTATTATTTTCTCAAGCATAAAGTCGAGAAGGGAAAAGAGAAAACTCTATCAACGTTTTGCTAAATCGAGAGATCCCTAACCTTGTCCAGTAAATAATGGACGTCTTTTTCTCTTGTGGCTACATATATAATTAACTAATTGAGTTTGTTTTTTTATAGCTGCCGCACTGGGGAGAGACTGAGCCAAAGGCAAGAGATAGATATCTCCACACTATTCATTCTCTAGCTGATAGCTACCCTTCAGAAAATTTGCTGCTCATCACTCACGGTAAGCTTCAACTAACATTCAATCAGATGAAAGCTATAAAGCTCAGGTGTATTACACCAAAAACTTCATGCGACAGAAGCTTAAGTATTTGGCCTGCTTACACATCCGATTTTCTTGAAAAAGATCTCACTCAATGATGATATATTACTTGAACAGTTTCAGACCAAGAGTTCTTAGTATTTCTTATAGCACACCCGATCAATCATTAGGCTTCGTGTATCGGAATCATCCCTTCACGTTTATGCAGGGGAAGCAGTGAAGGTTGCTGTCTCGACACATTTGGAGGATGCTGCGAGATTCAGGATTAGGATGGACTACTGTGGATACGCACAACTTAGAAGACAAGTCCTTCAAGATGGCGACGCTTTAGAGGTCGGTGAGTTTGAGCTTCTGGGGAACCATGGCCAAACCGGCATCCGCTGCTTGCCGAGGATGCCAATGTGATCGATATCCTCACGTCGAATGTTGCGCGATCATAGTCCATATGATGGATGGCAAAAGAGCTTGGTTTTAAGTATTTTGTTTTTTTCGTTCATTCTTTCGCATATTAGGGTGATTCTTTTGCGCATTAGGACAGACTATTACAGAGTGTGTATCCTTTTTATTATTCATCGTTGAATGTGATACATTCTTTTCTCTAATTTGTCTTTTCAATCGGTTTAAGTTATAAAATCAAGCTTATAAAACAGTTTTGAATTAGGTCGCCGATTAAAACATTGTTCTAATCTTTCATGGGTGCGTATTCTATGTTTAAGATCTTATGCATTGGTCCTTTTTATTACTGGGAAAGTATGTAACAAATATCCAAAAGAGGGGAAAGTTTTTTGCCGGAATTCGAATTTTAGCCGCTGATCGGGGCTTTGTACGGGGGTTTTGCTCCGGTGGCAAACATCTGATAAGAATTCTTAGTTTATGGAGATCATTAAGTTGAGTTACGCGTGAGTAGAATGCAACCTCACTATTTTCGCAAATGAGTTCGCTCATCTAGCATTGGTAATTCCTATCATCGTATCATAATCACGTGTATTATTATTGATATGTGCTAGGTCGAATTAGCGTTAAAACATGAAATATGACTTTCATGTGAGAAGCTAAATGATTGATAATCAAAACATTTTATAACTCACTTGGATGTCCAGATTTTTGTTCCATGTCACGTAACGTGTAGACGAATGTTGGCCCATTTTGTTCGGCTTTGCAAATGTGCCTTGGGGAATGCAAATACCTTTAACTTAAAGCCCATTGGGGAAAAGCAACTTGCGTTTGGTAAAAAACACTTTGTGAAGCTACTTTGACCCAAGTAGTGTTTGGTAAATTTTATTTTGCAAAGGGCTGTTCATAAAATTCTGAACCTATCAATGAACAAGTAATATAATGATGAGAAGAGTATCGTCCCACAGAGATTGATGATTAATAAACCAATTAAATATTAAAAATAGACTAATTCTAAAATTTATCTAACAGATCAAAATAGAATTGAGAATAAATAAAATTTGACAATTTTAGAAATGAAATTTTAGAATTAAAGGTAGATAATCAATCAAATAAAATATGTTAGAGCATTCGATTTCACCATAACCACTAGATATGAATTTCAGATCATTATGCATATAAGAACAATATCAAACATGTGATAGCGGAATTTCCTAATCTATTTACTATCCTATCTCTAGGTGTAGCAACCCTACTCAGTTTATCAATCCACTATATCTCTATGTGAATTTAAATAAAAACAAACACATTAAAATTTATGAATATTCCCGGTTTACAATGAATCTTTGGGATCATCTTATAACCGAAAGCTACACAAATAAGATGGTATATCTCTCTCCACATTTAATTCATGATCATATATTATAAGGAGCAATTGCATATTATCACTTCTCAGTCTCAAACATGCGCATCAGATCATTCAAGTGAGTGGCCAATCACTTAAAGGCATTAAGTACAATAATATATAACTCACATGAATGAAATCACTTGCAAAACATAAAAAGCATGAAATTTATATCATCATGGCTAGGCTACATCATAGCCCTAACAAAAGAAAATTAGAACATAATAGAAGAAGAAACGAAAATATAAATTCAACCCAACATCTTGAATCTAAGAACAAGAATTCTGTCACCACTTTTATCTTCTTTTCAAAAAACTTGAAAAACTCTCAAAATAATAAAAAAAAAACGATCTAAAAGAAAACTAGATGTACCCCTATGCTCTCAATGTTATCTATTTATAGGATAACATCCAAGACTCTTATCACAAGGCAATTGCTTCTTTTTAGCATAAAATTAAGGAATAAATCGCAGAATTTCCGATTTGATATCCATCTTCTAAGTTTTCTCTGGGTAGCATATTCCTTTCCTTCTTTTTGCAATTTTTTCCTTATTTTCTTTGTGTCTCATTATTCTGCATAAACAAGGAAAATTTGAGTAAATAGAAGGAAATCCAAATATTTTCTACAAAATATTGCATTATTTATTACCTAAAATAGGTAAAATAACTCTATTTTTATAGAGTTATCAAGGGCTTTGGCTGGAATTTTTTTTTTTTAAAGTAAACCCTTTTCCGGAGCCGGCGAAGGGCTACAGCTATCGGCGAGCCAGATTTGGCGCCGACGGCCGTTGCCTGAGGTCGTACGACCTCGACAAGGGCCGAGGTCGCACGACCCAAGGCAATGAGGCCTAAGGTCGCAGACCTAGGCGGCCGTCGCCGGGGTCGCGTGACCCACGCGGCCCTCGCCTGGGTGGTCTTGCGACCTCAGGTAGCCATCGCCGGGGTAAGGCGACCTCACCGGCCTTGCCTCGTCAGCTCTGACTGGCCGCCCTCGCACAAAGGAGATGAACAATAACAATGAGGGGCAAAACCGAAATATTAAAGGATTTGTGAGGGTAGTTTGGGAAAAGAAAAATTAGTTTCAGCATTTGGCAAATGTTGAAAACCCATTGAAAAATCTTGTCAAACGCCTCAGCATTTTCCCAAGGGGCTTTAGAGGTCGAAAGCCCTTTGGGAAAGCTGAACGGAATGGGGCCATTTTTGAGGGAATTACAAGTCCTTTAGAGCCTAAACATTCTTATTGATAATGATAATATTTTCAGGTAGCACATTTGTCTAAAGCGATAAGAACGATTAAAATTAAGAAATTTTTCTTTAGAAAACAAACGAAGCCTGAAGGGCATGTTTGTTTCACGTAAAATTCATGATAAAATAAAACACTTCCCGTGAAAATTATTTTCAAGGAAAATGTTGAAAAAGTGTGACTGAAAACGTTTTCAAGTGTTTGGATTTCATTTGAAATAATGGGTATTGAAAAAGGTGAATTAGTGAGCATTTGTTAAGAAATTTGTTACGATTGGGACAATGATTTCTTGTATATAGAAATGAGAATTCATTTTCCAAATTTTAAGTATGGGTGCTTGCCTTGACTCTAAATGTTAACCAACTTCTTTCATCCAACGCACTGTAAATAAATAAAATATGTAATTATTTTACACGTAAATACTACAAAAGAAGCAACTATAATCAGAAAAGCTTCTAAGCTAGCTGAACAACGTAAAGAAGTTATGATCTTGAGAATGTTTTTTTTTTAATTTATATAAAGCAAGATTAGTTTTTTACAACATTAATAAATTAATGATGTGAGGTTAGTGCAAGTACACTTCTAAAACAAGTACCCCATAGTTATTGATATTCAATAAAAGTCTACCGCGACCCTTCGTATATAAATTTTATAAATCAGTCTTAACTCAATGTTATCTTTTTAACATGTCTTTTTGCGCTTAAAATGACGCTTATTATAATCTTTCTTGTGAGTTATCTTGATCAACAACAATTGTGCCAAATGTTTAGGTCAAATATAATGTCTCCTAGTAAGCATGTAATGCACAAAAGGAACTAAAATCATCTAGGACGTTGCATCATCTCTCTATAAAATATGTGGTTGGTCAAGTAGTAGCGCCTCTATGTCTTATTACCATCCTAGGAAATTATGAGATTTTCAAGAAAGAAAGAATAAAAGTAGTTCATTTTTTTACTTTAATGATCGCTTAATCTTATAGATGGAGAGAGACCACATTTATATAAATCCCATTGTGAGGGATGTGAGAATATTTCAACACCCTTCTTATGTGCAAACCGAATCAGGAGCGGTACATGAAATTGACTAAAGGGGTGGACGCATTCGCAAAAGGGTCAGAACCTGAATCTGATACCATGTTAGAAAGTTCAACAAAAAAGCTTAAACTTATAGGTGGAGAAAGACCGTATATATATTAAGAGCATATGAACACATTATCAAACAATATGGGATATTTCAACATTATGTATGAAATACTTCACTAAACCTGTAGATCGAACTAGGTGCAACCCAAAATTGGAATGACTTATCTCAACACCGAATTGTTTGTATTTTATGGTGTTAATAATAATTTTTTGGTGGCTTTCGGGCTTTATCTTATCGCTCTCACTGTTGTCTTACATTTCATTGTTTCCATCCCTAGTTAAAGGTTTCGACTTTTTACATAGTTCACCTAGTACCACATTTACAATGTGGTTTTTAGTGGTAGAACTTGGCCAGCATATAAGGGAAATTGACCGATAATGATACGTTGTCTATAGACGACTCTCTCTCTCTCCATGTGGATTGATATGTTAGAGTAATGCTGGACATGCTAAAATTTATCTGTCGGTTGTTTAAATGGGCCTATTCGTTTCAATAACTACTTATGAAATGTCGCATCACGAGAATCGATCAGTCATCGTCTTTAACACATCTTATAGTCCGGACAAGAGAGCTGGCCCAAACTGAATGCGTTCTGGTTTGGGCTAACCGGTGCAGAGGCCAAAATTCTAAAATTTGCTCTCGATCGAATCTTTCTATCCGTCTACTTTAATTTTATCAAATTTCAAAGGTCTAAACATGCAAATCCTCCTTTGTATAACCCCAAACACTTACTTTTCTAACCATCTAATTTTCAATCATCACACTCCAGAAGATCTAAAGATGCAAATCCTTTCACCTACGAAGCATATACATATGTTAAATCTAAGAAAAGGACGAGCTAACTCGACGGCGACGAGTAACTCCTCCCACATAAAGGAGTACTGAATTTTTTGCAGAAACTGCATTGATCACGAGCACACAAGGCAACCAAAATTCTTCCTTGTCAATAAAATTCAATTTCTATAAACAATAAACAACAAAAAAAATTCAGTGTAAGCATCATCTCTTAGGCTTTGCCTGGAGCAGGAGGTCAAAAGTCTACGCGAGGTCAATTGACGTGTAGATGAACTCTCAAGCAAGCTTTTCAATGTCTTTCCACGAAAGAGAGAGAGAGAGATAGAAAAGATGGAGATTTGGTCAAATACGTTAAAGGTTGACCCAAGGAAATGGAATGGAACTTAACGGTGAAGTGTCCGCTGCAATTAACCCATGTCTATCCAACTTACCTATCGTCTAATTTGAAGGCTTTGATTTTCAAATTAAAGCTAACAAGGGTAATAAAAGCGCTAATTCGAAATAAGGCGACAAGGTTTTGAATTCAAATGAATAAAAGAAATTTTTAGGACTAAAATGATGAATCAACGCAAGTTTTAGAAGTTCCGCTATCATTATCCATAATAGAAGCAATAATTATGCATTTGTCAATTGATAAAATTCTTTGTAAAATTGCTAATTGATAAGATATCGAGGAAGAAAAAAAGAACTCAGACCCCTTAAAAGTATGAGGTTTTCTTTAGTTTATATTTGTAAATGGGCACACCCGTTCTGTGTGTCCAAGAGATTAACATTTAAATCATTAAGCAAAATATTTTGTCACGAAATATCTAATCATTGAATAGTTCAAAGAAATTAGTGATAAAAATACACGAAACAAAGAAATAGTATAAATATACGCGGGAAGAGAAAAATATTTCAAGATTTTAAGTTTTTCCTAGAAAATTTGTCGTCAGAAATAAAAACATCAAAAATTTAATAACAAAACATGTGAGGGATCGAATAAACTTATGTATTAAATCATATTTCCATATACACGATGTTTGCAAAATAAGTATATAAGAATACGTGGAGAAAGAAAAAAAACGACCGAGATGTCTTAAAAAAATTTGGAGATTTTTTTTACACTTCATATAATGTAAATAAGGAAGGAGAACACGCTAGATAGCTTCTTTTTTTGGTTAAGTTCACCTTGTTTTATTTTGCTTCATGCTATTAAAAAAAATTATGGAACCCCGAAAAAATCAACACTTATTTGGCAACCAAAATTGGTTCATCATAAAAATTATTCCACTCGACGATGAATATTCCACCACAATTTCTTGGGTACTCTGTTGATTCTTTCGGTTCTTTTTCGCAGCCACCGTTCTTCACCGAGCTACACGCTGAAGAAATTTCTAATCGATATCCAGAGCGACTCATGCCGCGTGAATTCCCTTATGGATTGTAGTAGAAATTGCTCAGAAGAGTAGAAGAAAATGAGATCAGAGAACACGGTCTCGCTGTTCATATAAACTGATTCATGCATCTCCAAACATCAAGAGACCAATATTCATGCTAAGAACTCCTAATCTTTCTCTAGCGAAATTTTGCTCTCGTTACCTCGCCGTTTTCCCTGCTGCGAACATGGTCACCACGAGACTCGAGCGACCTCGCCACCGCCGCCAGCACGTCGTCGTCATGCGCCACGGCGACCGCCTCGACAACGTCGACCAGTCGTGGCCTTCCAGGGCCCCCAGGCCGTGGGACCCCCCGCTGGCCGAGGAAGGCCGGGCCAGGGCGCTCGAGACGGGCAAGCAACTCCCCACCCGGCTTGGCTTCCCGATCCACCGGATTATCGTGTCGCCCTTCCGGAGGTGCGTCGAGACTGCCCTCGGGCTGATTGCTGGCCTCTCGGCCCCCGACGAGGGCCCCGACGTAGCTATGGGCGACGGGGGCATCGACCCATCAAAAGTCAAGGTCCGTTAATCTCTCTCTCTCTCTCGCGTTCATCTGAAATTGTTTAGTCATATATGCATGTACTAATGATGCCTACGGCTTTAGTCCTTAGTAAATGCTAATAATAATGTTTAACACATTTTTTTGCAGGTATCCATAGAGTATGGAATGGGCGAGCTGTTCAACAACATAGCAATCAGACATCCTCCTCCTAATCCTGAAGATCATGCGGATTGGGGTTTTAACATTCCTGAAATTGAAGCCTTGATTCCACTAGACGCTTTGGACAAGACAGTGATGCCAGTGTTCGGCCAGGTACAAAAGATTTTTCATGTTTTATGCCCCAAAAAGATTGAAAAAAGAGATTGTCACAGAGTGGATACATATAATGAACCAATTTGAGTTTGATTTTTGTAGCTGCCTCAATGGGGAGAGACTGAGCCAAAGGCAAAGGAGCGATATCTCCTCACCATTCATTCTCTTGCCGATAGATATCCTTCAGAAAATTTGCTGTTCATCACTCATGGTATGTACTTCAAGTTTAAATTTAAATTTTTCCGAAATTTCTCATCCATATTGTAACATGCAATTAGATTGAAAGCTATAAAGCTTAGGTGTATTACATCAAGAACTTCATGCGACATAAACTTTAGTGTTTGGCTTGCTGACACATCCATATGATTACTGCTTATCCACCGATGACATTGCGCGAATAACTTTGTACTAGAAGATCTTAGTAAAGCTAATATTATTCTCGTTAGCACTCAAATGATCGTCAGGCCTCACGTATCGGAATCATCTCTTCGCATTTATGCAGGGGAAGCAGTGAAGGTCACGGTCTCGACACAATTGGAGGACGCCACGAGATTCAAGATTAAGATGGACTACTGTGGATATGCGCAGCTCGGAAGACAGGTCATTCGAAACGGTGACGTGTTCGAGGCCAGCGAGTTCGAGCTTCTCCCGAACTATGGACAAACCGGCATCCACTGCTCACCAAGGACGCCGATGTGATCGATACCCTCGCATCGAGTGTCGCAGAACTTGTCATAGTACATATGATGCAAGGGCAAAAAGAGCTTGGTTTTACGATTGTGTTTCTTTGTTAATTCTTTCATATGTCCGTGGGATTCTTTTGCGTTGATTAGGACGGACTTTTACCGAGTGTATTACTTGTTCTACGATTCAACATTGAATTTGATATGTTCTTTCCTCTAACTTTATTTTTCTATCGGTCCATGTTAGACTCAAGGTGTTCCCATTTAGTCAAACTAAAAATATCAGTTTTATAATAGATCACCAATTGGACCGTCTCTTCCCCTTTGTATATTTCTCGGGACTTCGGTGCTTTGAACAATTCAAACTCTCTTGGAAACGCAGAGAGCCATCATTGATATCATCTTCCTTGCCTGAATCACTTCCCAAGTTTAATAAAAAAAAAAAAAACTCACAAGATTACCAGGTCCGGTTCTCATATAACGTCTTTAATCACATCTTAATCATCTAATGTTTCCATAAATATTCATCCTAAAAATTTTTGGTGTTGCCATTTTGCTGGGCAGCGGACGCGCGATATGTACATCATTTAACGCTAAATTGCTGATTCATTCGAGATTCAAATTATGTAGAAAATTTAGGTTGTGTAACCCTCGCCTGGCCACCGGTAAGAGTATCCAACCCTCACCGACGACCAAGGGAGTAGCATCTGCTATTACCATCGTGCACGAGCCCCTCCCCCCTTATTTTTTCTTTCTTAATATTCACTTTGTTGTTTAAGATTTTCAGTTTTAGACAAAACGACGTCGTTTTGGGTTAAATAATATCGTTTCCGACTTTAACAGGCTCTGTGAGTAAATAACAACCACGTGGACAGAAAATAAAAAATTTAAAAGCCAACTCAAATTTTTCAACCATTAGAAGCTAACGGAGGTAATGAAAAAGTAATTCCAAGTACAACGACAAGTTTTTTAATTGAAAGGATTAAAAGCAAGAGTGTTAGGACTAAAGTGACGGACTGATGCAAGTTTTAGGAATTCCACAGTCATTATCCCAATTTTGCAAGAGATATATACTAAATGTATTCATTTACGTATTTTCCCATTGATAGAATAACTTATAAAATAACTCTTTGAGGATATATGGAAGAAGAAAAAAAAAAAAGGGGGATTGTGACCCTTAAAAGTAGGAGAGGTTCTCTTACATTATAGTTATACTAGCAAATATGTACACGTCTTACATGTGTGCAAGAAACTGTCATTTAAATCATTAGGCAAAATCACTTTGTCACGAAATATTTGATTCATTGAATAATTCAAAGGAATTAGTGATAAAAATACCCAAGAGAAAGAAATAGTACAAATATACGTGGGAATAGAAAAATATTTCGAGATTTTAAATCTTAAGAAAGCTGTAGGATAGAAAAATATCAAAATTTAAATATGAATTTGTTTTATTTCATTTTACATTATCGAAAATCCCGAAAGTCAAGGTTCGTAGTGAAATATGACGTGACGATGAATCTTCCACCACAATTTCTTGGAGACTCAAGTCGAGTGAAGTCGTAATTGATTGGAGTAGAAATTGCTGGGAAGGCACGAACAGATTGTCAAGAATTTTCCTGCGAAATGAAAGAACGAAGTCAAAAGCACACAGTCCCGCACTTTCTATATAAAGACTTGCGCTCATCTTCCTAGGATAGAGAGAAAATTTGTGCTACGAGCTGCCATTCTCTCCCCTGAGAAGTTCCTCTCTCTTTCCCTCGCCATTCTTTTCTCCCGTGAACATGATCGCCGCGAGACTCGAGCGACCCCCCCACTGCCAACACGTGGTCGTCATGCGCCATGGTGACCGCCTCGACAGCATCGATCGGTCATGGCCGTCCACGGCCCCTAGGCCTTGGGACCCTCCATTGGCCGAGGTCGGGTTTGCCAGGGTGCTTGAGACGGCCAGGCAACTCCCCGCCCAGCTCGGCTTCCCAATCCACCGGATCATCGTGTCTCCCTTCCGGAGGTGCGTCGACACCGCTCTCGGGCTGATCGCCGGTCGCCCGGCCCCGGGCGAGGGCCCCGACATAGGGAGAGGCGACGGCGGCATCGACCCGTCAAGAGTCAAGGTCCATTGGGCTGTCTCTCACATTCATTTAAACTGTGTAGCCATATATGCACGTACTAATTATGCCTAGGGTTTTTGGTCCTTAATATTTGCTAATGATAATGTTGTAACGCAATTTCTTTGCAGGTATCTATAGAGTATGGAATGGGGGAGCTGTTCAACATCATAGCATTCAGACATCCTCCTCCTAGTCCTGAAAATCATGGGGATTGGGGATTCAACATTCCTGAGATTGAAGCCTTGATTCCACCAGCCACTTTGGATCATACAGTGAAGCCAGTGTTCAATGAGGTAAGAATGATTTTTCATGTTTGAAGCCCCCAAAAAAAAATTAAAAATTTGTCGATTTCATTTTACAAGACTTGACTTGGTTAATTTGCGACCGTTTTCAAGACTTTTGGTTTTTGTTTCTCGTTTAATTTGTTCTCGAGAATTTGATTTATTATTATTTTCTCGAGCAGAAAGTCGAGAAGGGAAAAGAGAAAATTTTCTTGATGTTTTATTTAAATTGAGAGGATCCCGGATCTTATATAGTATATAATGACTTCTTTTTTTTCTTGAATGGATACATGTAATGAACTAATTTGAGTTTGATTTTTGTAGCTGCCACAATGGGGAGAGACTGAACCAAAGGCAAGGGATAGATATCTCCACACTATTCATTCTCTTGCCGATAGCTACCCTTCAGAAAATTTGCTGCTTATCACTCATGGTAAGCTTCAACTATCATGCAATCAGATTGAAAGCTATAAAGCTCAGGTGTATTGCCCCCAAGAACTTCATGCGCCACAAGCTTCAGTATTTAGCCTGCTTACACATCCAATTTCTTGAAAAAGATCTTATTCGATGATGATATATTACGCGAACAATTCCGTAGTATAAGTTTATAGTATTTCTTTAGCACGCTCAATCAATCATTAGGCTTCACGTATTGGAATCGTCCCTTCACGTTTATGCAGCGGAAGCAGTGAAGGTCGCGGTCTCGACACATCTGGAGGATGCTGCGAGGTTCGAGATCAAGACGGGTTACTGCGGGTACGTACAACTTAGAAGACAGGTCGATAAGAGCAGCGACGCGTTCGAGGCCGGCGAGTTCCAGCTTCTCGCCATCCATGGCCAAACTGGCGTCAACTGCTTCCCGAGGACGGAGATGTGATCGGTACCCTCATGTTTGCATGGCTTGTCGTAGCACATATGATCCAAAAGAGCTTGGTCTAATGAGTTTTGTTTCTTCGTCAAAGTTTCCTTCTGTTGGGGGGATTGCTTGTAAGGACGGACTGTTATTGAATGTGATTATGTTCTTTTCTCTAATTTTCTTTTTCGCTATGTTAGTCTAATGCTCTCATTAAGTCAAACTAAAAGATTGTTCTAATATTTAAAAGGGCATGTATTCTGTGTTTAGGAATTTGTGCATTGGTCTTTCTTATTACTATAGGAGAAATTTTTTGCCTGAATTCGAATTTCAAATTAACCACTGCTTCGTGTATTCACATATTAAACTCAAGTCATGAATTGGTGTCCTTGCGAAATATCATAGATTTTGTTGAGCATGTCGAAAATTAAGGGTAACCATAAGAGCATTGATACTGCAATATACTTATAAAAAAAAGAACCATATAAAAAAAAAGAATCCAATAGAAATCAAGCTGGTAATTTCGTTATTTTCAAGCTATCGACTAAGAGATTTAAGTGGAAGTTCTCTCCGACCAAACGGAATGACGTAAAATGTCGCGTCAACATTATTTTTAGACCTTTTTTTATAGCGGGTCAAGTGATGTTCGAAACAACTTTCGCATACTTAACCGATTCACTTCCCAAGGCCTCACTCCCTTGTAGAGGCTTACTCCCTTGTATCGATTCGGTGCATCCGTAGGTTTCACGCCCAGAGTGTTTTCAACTTAAGACCGCAAGAGGATGAGCAAACTCCCTTCTCACGTAAATCAACTATTTGGATAACATTATCTTTGGTAAAGACCCTCATTGCTTGGAAACCGCCGGTTCTCTTTGCAAAAGACAAAGACTGAGGAAAAGGAGTCAATGCTTCGAGGGACTCCAACTTTGCCCAATTGAGTGCGAAGGGTTTGGTAAGAAAAGAAAGAACTATCTCTGCGAGAAAAAAGAGAACGCAAACCGTGTTGATGTCATCTGTTCTTTTTTCCCACTTTAGCATTGAGGACGAGGGTAAATCTTCATTAGATCTCTCATCAAATTTACTTTCTCGTGATTAAACCCTTCGTTTACGTCGTGTCGTTGTCGTATTTGCTAAATCCGAGTTCATTAGGTCATTTGGTATAACAATGCTCTTTAGAATGGTGTTTTGCGCACCCCTTTTCGATCCACCCAAATTGATCACGGATCTTTCAGGCTAAAATTAGTGAGGTGGGTGGTGGCTCTAACCTTTCGTTCACTTTCAATATTTAGGGTTTTCGCAAGATTTTGACTTTTATGTGACCTCGAACACATTCATATATCAATGTAAAATGTAGAACTAAACTTGAGGTTTTTACGAAATGCGATTTCGATCCAAACGGAAAAGTAAAGAGGACATTTTAAAGGTCTTATAAAACAATAGATACCCTCTAAAGAAAATCTCGCTTTGTATCAACTACTTTCGATATGCACACAAACCAATCCTTTGAAGTTGGTTGACGAAGATTAGGACCTGATAATTACCGGAGACACACGTGTTTGGTGCAAAAAACCGATCTATGATATCGATCGACCCGATAAAAGAAAATTCCCTCGAGCATTTTTGATAACCTCATAGGGTAATTATAGACTGTCTCTTGACCCTGTTGACCCCCATTGACGATGACTCTTTTCAAGGAAGAACTAAGAAAGCCATGCATTTAAGATGCGAATTATAGCCATTCTGTTTTCCTGTTTTTCTATTTTTTTGTTCTCGAAAACAGGTTTGGAACAGAAATCTATTTAGTAAAATAATTTCATTTTTCTATTTTCGGGACAAAATTTTAGCTTAAAAATAGATTTGAAACAGAAATAAGAAGTTAAAATTTTCACTTTTCAATTTTCGGAACAGTAACAACTCTCTTTTATTGCTCACCCTCGCCGCCCGCCGCCACCTACCCGCCGGCCATCCACTGGCCGTCCTCCGCTGGCCGTCCGCCGCCGCCGCCGGGAACATAAATTTAAGAATAACATATCAAACGAGTTTCTATTCCGGGAACAGAAATTTCATGTCGTTATCGAACGCTACTTTTTACTCAAAAACTCGTCCACGAAATAGAAATAGATTTTTTTTATTTCTAGCCAGAAATAAGGCCTGAGAAGAGAAATTTTATCATTCGCCCCCTTAAAGACCAACAGATTGTCTCATCTCTTTCGTTCCAAGAAAAACAAAGATCGAAGTCGTCTTCTTCGAGAGTCAAGAGTCTCTCCTCACTCCTTCGTGGGTGCTTCCGAGCAGTATCCGGCTCTTTTCATCCTTTCCTGTCAATCTATATATCTATCATCACTTTTTAGAATACCGGAGAATCGTTAGAATGTTAAAATTCTCAACTTTTATCCTAACGACATGTAAATCTAATTTAAGTAGATTCGTTGAACTCTCAATATCTTTTTTTTTCTTTTCCTTTTTCTTTTTTGTATTGAAAGGGGCGAAGCCCAAAAGTTACATCAGAACTTGTCTAACGAAACTAGATTCGACCTGATCTCTTATCGATAAAGGAATCAAACCTCTCGGTGGCTTATCTAAAGTCACACCAGAACTCTCAATATCTTTAGCTTTGTCTCGAAGACGCCTATTCTAATTCAAACCGTCGACATGTGCGATTAAAAATGTTGCTGTAAACAGCATTAAAATAAATCTTGCTACAATATGCCATACCACCGGGCATGCTTCGGTATCAATTTGTCAAATTGTTCCAACTATCGTTTTGTTCGCGTACAAATGATTTAATAGGAATCACTATGGAAATACTGCTGGTGCTATTATAAAAATGTATATATGTATCTCTGCATCATTATTATAAATAGGGTTAATACCACGAAAAACCCTAAACTGGTACACCTGTAACAAATTTACCCTAAACTAATTTTTTTACCACAAAAAATCCCAAACCGGTACACCTGTGACAAATTTACCTTTCGTTAGTTTCTGTTAAATTTTACCGTCAAATTGCTGAGTTTGATGACACATGGCAGTTGGCGGATGTACCAGTTTGGGGTTTTACCCCTCTATTTGTAATAGGTTTACAAATTTGTGATTTTTCATGATATTAATCCAATTTAACAGAAGATAAATTAATCACATGTGTATCAGTTTGGGGTTTTTGGGGGTCAAAAAATTAGTTTGGGGTCAATATTTATCACAGGTGTACCAGTTTGGAGTTTTTCGTGGTATTAACCTTTATAAATAACCAGATTTTTGCGCGAATATAATTTGAGTTTTTGAAGAAGTCGAATCTGAATTCAAAGCAACGGACCTGGCAATTCCATTTTGAAGCTCGATGTCATTTTGTCGAATGAATGTGTGATTAACGCTCTTATTTCCTTCACATTTATCATTAGTCGTTAAGTTATGTATTAAGCGATGTTACGTTAAAATATGTCTCGAGTTTGAGTCTATGAACGAAATCCGACTCGAAAATAAATTATTATTTGTGGACGCCTAAATATATGCCATGGAGATAAGATTTCCTTTTATGGTGTTAAGAGTCCAAGTTGGAGATTTCCTATTTCGCTTTGATATCAAAATTGGTGCCCAAGTTTTTCGGCCAAGTATAGAGAAAGGAAAAAAAAAAAAAGGAACCTGAGCTTAAGTTTCGGAGATTAAATTTCCTAATACAAGAACCGCTTATGTGAATGCCCGGTGTTCCGTGGCTGTTGATGAAAAGTGGCAGCGTGGGTCTTCGTGCAGTGAAGTTTTACTTCGACAAATTACGTCGCAAGAGACGAGTGTTAGAAGCAATAAATCTCGTGATAAGATTTGTTAATCCCTTCGTGAAATTAAGAGATTATCTCGTAAGGAATTGTGAGGCTAAAAACTAATCGCATGAGTTATTGGGGGTAACCGGGGCTGGGAAATACTAATAGTGTTTGAGTGACTCGAGTGAGATTGTAATCTCCGTTGTATCGCTTGATCTATGGTGAAATTCGTTGCTCCTTTCTGCGTGGACGTAGGTCGCTACGATCGAAACATTTAAATCTCCTAGTGTCTAATTTATTTTTCTTATTCCGTTTATTTTATTGTTCGATTGCTTGATTCCTATGTAAGACAGAGATAGCAAATATTGATGTGTTCTTCTTACGTTATGGGGGCGATATAACATCAATTGTTGGAGTCCATGTGAACTTTTACCAGAGAGAGAGAGGAAGGAAGGAAACTTAGCTAAGCTTAGCTCACCCTCACTCTTCTTCTCTCTTCATCTTCCCTCTTCTCTCTAAGCGCACAGCTCACAACCTCGACTCGCCGGTCACAATGGCGCCAGCCGTCGAACAACTCAAACCCGAGCCACCAGCCGCCGTCCATTGCCAACATATCCTCGTCATGCGCCACGGCAACCGTGGCGATGACGGCACCAACGATTCGTGGTGGACCCGGGTCCCCAAACCGTGGGACACTCCATTGGCTGATGCGGGCCGGATCAAGGCACTTGAAACTGGCAAGAAACTGCTGGCTGAGCTCGGGTGTCCGATCCACCGGGTCGTCGCGTCGCCGTTCCGACGGTGCATCGAGACCGCACGGGAACTGATTGCCGGTCTCTTTACAGCGGACAACGACGACACCCCAAACGTTGCGCTAGGTAATGATGGCGATTCCGCTGACTCATCGACACCAAGAATCAAGGTCGAGCAATCTCCCCTAATCCACAAGGGTTTTGCTGAAAGTTCTTAATCTAAGTTTAGTATCGATCTATTGCAACACAGTCTCTCTGTTTTAGACTTTTAGTCCAAACTCCAAAGAACTTCTTCACGCGAAGGACAACATGCTGAGATAAAGAAGGAAGGTATATCTAAGTGCTATTTATCAAATGGCCGGTCCAATATTTTGTGAACTCTTTGCAGGTATCTATAGAGTATGGAATATGCGAGATGATGAACGACGTCGCACAATGGTATCATCCCACGGATCGCAATTCGTTGGGATTTGACCTAGAAGAGCTCGAGGCTTCGTTTCCACGGGATGTTGTAGAGGTCACACCGGACCGGGTGTTCATGGAGGTACGAGGTTTTTACGTGGCAACGTGGTCAGTGTATAAACTTGTAATTTTGATGATAATCTCTTCGGGGATGGCAACATGCATCAAATAGTCATAACCAAAAACCAAACGCTCATGGCGAAGGTTTTGTCTCTTTTAGAGTAGAATTAGAATGCGCGACGACATAGTTTTACAATGTGAATTATCGTGTATCATTAAGTCGCGATCCTTTGTGACGTTTGCACGATTAAAGGGTTTTTGCTTTGCTATACAACTTTGGTTTACTTCCATCATAAACGAGATTAAAAAATCACCCTTGAAGGTTGTAAGTTAAACTACGTGTAATTGCATGGTCTAATTTGGAGTTTATCTAAATTGCTGTAGCTGCCACAATGGGGAGAGAGCGAATCCGGGGCAAGAGATCGATACCTGCTCACTATTCACTCCCTCGTTGACAACTACCCTGAAGAGAATCTACTGTTCGTCGCTCATGGTAAGCTTCAATATGACTTTTAGATTCAACGGTTTGTATAGCCACATTCATAACAATTGCACGAAAAGCAAAGACGTTTTTAAGTCTTGACATGTTTCCAATCCAGCTTCAAATGCAGGGGAAGGAGTGAAGGTCACGGCCTCGACATATTGGAAGGAGGCAAGAGGGCACAAAATAAAACCGGACTATTTTGGATATGTGCATCTCAAGAGGCAAATCGTTCGAAATGGCAATTCGTTCACCGCTAACAGATTCCAGATAGCACGAACCCCGACGAAACCGGTGTCGTACGCGACCCGCCACGATGCGCATGAAGTGGTGTTTGCAGTTACCCCATGTGACGGAGCATTGGGAGGGTTTCAGTTGCTTTCAATGTTGGTTTTGTTATCTGTAGGCTTTGTTGGATCATTTTGATGTTAGGACAGTTCAAATTGTTCGGACAAGCTTCGACGGCTTTATTTGATGGTTGAATTACTTTTGTACTCTTTTTTTAGCGGTTGAGGTGATGTCCGAATCAGATTCCGAACACTTCAACTGGGTTCATTTTCTCAGGCAAACTTCAGGATGCATTCCTCCACATCGCCCTGGTACATTTAGGATATTTACTCTTGGAATATTCTCAAAAAGGCCGGATGCATTAATGTTGACTGGGTCCACCTTATGTGGGGCCCAGCCAGCATAAAACAAAATAAAAGAGAAAAGAAACAAAAGTCAAAAAAAGAAAAGAATAAAAAGAAGTGCTTCGTGCGTACAGCGTATGCCCACGGAAGAGAGAGAAAAATAGAAGGTCACGGAGGAGAAGAAAAGGGGTTCCGGCTTGTGATTCCGATTCGAGGGCCAAATGTTGTCGGAATTGGCTCAAATTTTAGTATGTTGTTCCGCTGAGACGGAGGCAAGAGGGCACAAAATAAAACCGGACTTTTTTGGATATGTGCATCTGAGAATTTCCTTCGAACTCGCATTCGTTCACCGCTTTTTCAGATTCAGTTTTATGTAAATCCACGATGAAACCGGTGTCATGTGCGACCCGCCATGGTAAACGCGATGAAGTTGGTGTAATGCAGTTACAGCATGTGACGGTGATTAAGGGAGGTTTTTGGGGTGGTTTCAGTGATGGTTTTGTTATCTGTAGGTTTGCACGTTCATTCTTGATGTTAGGACATTACATTTGTCTCCTTATTATTTCAAGGTTGAATTGCCGAAATGTTGTTGGTTGTTGCTAGCGGTTGAGGTGATGTCCGAATCGGATTCCGAACACTTCAACTGGGGAGATATTGATCCTAGATTGAGTTTTGTTCTTGGTGAATTGTTGTCTGGTTCTCCCCAAACAAAGTAAGGACGCACTCCCCCATATCGACCAAGTGCATTCGGGATTTTACTCCAGGAATGTTCTTAAAAAGTATTGAATCCAAAATCACAAGGAAATTGCAAACTCTCGTACAACGTGGGCCGACATCAAGTTAATCATCTAGTAAGAAAATATTAATTTTAGACTAGTAAAGACCCTCATTGCTTGGAAACTGCCGGTTCTCTTTGCTTGTCCTTTTATATTTGCAAAAGACAAAGACCGAGGAAACGGAGTCGATGCTTCGACAGCCCAACTGAGGAACTCGACAACTCCGCGCAAAGGGTTTGGTAAGAAAAGAAAGAACACTCTGCAAAGAAAAAGAGAATGTAAACAGTGTCGATCTCATCTGTTCTTTCTTCCCACTGAAGTATTGAGGACGTGGGTAGATCTTCATAAGATGTCTCGACGAATTCACTTTCTCGTGATTAAACCCTTCGTTCACGACGAGTCGTTGTCGTATTTGCTAATAATGGTATTTTGCGCACCCCTTTTCGAACCGCCCAAATCGATAATGGATCTCTTAGGCTAAAATTAGCGAGGTGGGTGGTGGCTCTAGCCTTTCATTCACTTTCAATCTTTATGCATCTTTTAGGCTCCAAGGGCCTCTCCTCGCTCCTTCATGGGTGCTTCGGAGAAGTTTCTGGTTTCTTTTCTCCATCCTTTCCTGTGAATCGATGTCTATACCGCCTATGACAGTACCAAGGATCATCCTGTTTTCGGAGATTTAGATTTCTAATTTTGCCCTGAAGACATCTAATGCAAAACGTTTCTGACTTCCAATTCTACCCTCTGTACATTGAAAAATCATTAGATTTTTAAAATTATCTAATTCGTCCTAAAGGCGTACATTTTAATTTATGACGGACCGATTAAAGTCGTAAAGTTTTCATATCGTGTGGAATACATCTATTCTAGTTTAAACCGTCACACCTCTCATTTAAAATGTTGCCCTGAACAAAACTAATCTAAATCTAGCTAAAACAACTCTCAAGATGCAAAGGTTTGACATGTTATATCAATCATGTCTATTTCCATATAATTTCACAATAGTCATAAGATCTGGTTCATTCCAATTGACGATCTTGGACTTACCATAGAACTTGGATAATTAAAGCATTGGAGCTTAGGAGTGGACATATCGAGAGATGTTGTAATTCAAATTACAACATCTTATAAATCACTATGATGGACATTGAGGTTTGTTTTCACTAGACATTGAGCTTACGAGTGGAAATTTATCAGTCCCGTGATGGTCTTCTCTGTCAAATGCTAAACGCAACATTATGAGACCCCATTAGCTGGATAACACTCAATGTCCATCTATCCACCCAATCAGCTTGCTTCGCGACTATGATTTTTTCATAAACATGGGTAAGTATAGATTCTTTTGGTACATATAATCTTGAGTTTGCATCTTTCATAAATCAAGATCATTCCTATCAAATATGTGAATTTTTAATTTTCGTTCTTATTCTGACATTGTTGACTTGCTTCAACTCAGTCAAACCTATTTTGATACCAATTTATGCTAGGAGCGCGTAGTAGAAGCATGATACATTTATCCAAGGAGATCGCCAAAAGAAAACTCAAGTCCATACCTGTCAACATATCCAATTAAACCCACTTTCACTTAAAAGTTTAAACCAATATATTATTGATCAACTAGTATATATTAACTATTCCACAAAATACTAATTCTCTGATGTATGAATTTTTCTAAGACAACTGACACGTATATATTAACAATCTCCCTCTCACATATGGGTTCAAGGTTAGGTCTGCTCCCCCTTAGTTTAAATATCCTTCTGCACCAATATGGCTCAACTTGAATCTCCAATTCCCCCTTCATCCCGAGTCTCTTTCCCTAGATAGAACCATGAAGGTTACCTTGAAACCATGTTGGTCTGATCTCTTCCTTGAAATGTTCACCAAACACTGATATATATTGGGAGTGAGCAAGTAGTAAAAGATCGATATCTTCACTTGGAGAGATTGCCAAAAGGGAGACCAAGTCCGACACAACAACCTTCACTCAAAAGCTTAAGCCAATCAGTTATAATCCAATTATAATATATTAACTACTCTACAATACACTAATTCTAAGATGTAAGATTTTTTCAAATACAACTCACACGTGCATCTCAGCATCAAGTACATCCATTGGCAAGCCGTCAAAGAAAACACCTGGCTTCCCCCGGTTCATATTCCCATCTATCACACCGTCGCTACCTTTACAACACAAGGACCCGAAAAAGGGGCATGTTAGGAGGAAATCCTTCTCCGTCCACAAGCTCAGAAGTGTCCTCCCCCGGGCCCAGCAACCTATGATAGTTGGGGTCATCGAGCCTCGCCATGAGCTTTGGCTCTCGGGCGAGAATGAGATGCCTAATTGCGGCAATGGTCTGTGAGGGGACGGGATTTGCATGGAGAGACCAAAGTAGAGGCTCCTATTGGAGTCGAACTCGTGCGGAACCTAATGGCCACCAGCATTAGATGGGTTGGGCAGTGGCGTGCAACAAATCTAGCAGAGGATGGTGATTGGCATCGAACAATAGCCCTGAGTTTACCATCCTCCATCAAACTATAGGAAGAGAAAAGAGAGTCAAAACCACTCCTTCTACGACTAAACTTCAATTCCTAACCTCATCTTTTCGAAGAGGTTAGTAATGAAAGGACCAATTTTGACGCACTTGCATATATCTTAGGTATCGAGTAATCTGTACCATTGAAGGGCGGTGGAGAGCAAAGGAGCCACCCGCGGCAGCGCAGCCGATTAGTCATCACCTTACTTAGATCATTTACAAATTTGCACACCGGGTTTGTCCACCTCCTACTTTGAAAGGAAGAGATGGGGAGTTCAATTCCCTACCTTCTTAGAGGAGGCTAGGGAGTGGAGACGCTTAGTTTCGATTTGGATTTCAACTTCCACACTAAATAAAAAGGCAGCGCAAAAGTCGAAAGTGAGTTTAGAGATAAAGTCAAATGGACAAAAAAAATATATGGTCAACGTGAAGCTTTTTATGTTTCACGTTTTTTGCTTTTATAAACATAATGATTTAATTATTGAAGAAGATGGAAAAATTGTCTTATGACAAAGCCAACAGTCAAATTTGGTGTGCAATCTCTAGTTTTCCACAATATCGTTGACTTAGCTATTTTCTATTGTTGGTCGCTCTGCCGATTGCCAAGAAGGATGAAATAAAATTTTATTGATTGGACTTTGGAGGGAACGGCTTTTGTTAGCAAGGTTTATATAATAATTTTTTTATCCACGATCGGCTTTATTGTAATCCATGTTGAGCTAGTTTTTATCCAATTGAAGCATATGAGTTTTTTCTTTCTTTCTTTCTTTTTTAAGAAAAGAGAGGCTTAAAGACTCTATTTAATTGGCTTAATTCTTTAGAAAATCTCCAAACTTTAGGTTTATTCCAAATTTTGTTCCGAACTTTTTTTTTATCTCAGAAAAAACCTCAAACAATAGATCCAGTCCCAAATCTACTCCAAATTTTGTTTTGTCTAAAATAATCATCAACTTTCAATATATTCTCAAATCCCAACTTGACGTGGCATTTCCACGTTAGCAAGGTGACGTGGAAACTTATCTTCAAATGAAACCGTTGTGGAATATGAAAATTAGAGACGACTAAAGACGATTTTTGGAAAGAGGACTAATGGGGGCAGATTTGGGACTACAGTAAAAATTGATGATTTTTCTCTTAAACAAAAAAAAAGTTTTGGGTATATTTGGGATTGGACCTAAAGTTGGGATTTGTTTTAGAAAATGAAGAGTTTGGAGTAGATTTGGATTGGACCTAAAGAGGCATCCTATGCATAACAAAACCTGCTGCAAAATACACGTAGTTTAACCCCTTGAAATTAACGTAATTAGTTGGGACATCAGGGGATTCCTGATTCAAAAATTGGAAGTTGCTTGTTTAAATTCCACCCACTTAGTGCAAGCTGCTCCTGATCAGGATCGCCTATAAAGGCCAAAACTACGGAGGCCAACGTCCGGTGTTTATGGGCCTCCAATTAGCCAGGTGTTTATGCTCGAGCCTTTAGATTATCAAAAATGAAAAATATATGTAGCTTATATTTTCGGACCGTGGGTAACATTTAAATAAATAGGTTATTTTCGACCACCAAGAATAGATAATGCAAACGGTAGTGCGTCCCCACCAGCAACCACCCAACCTTTGAGCTACATTTTCTATTGGGGTACTAGTCAAAATCTGTGAGCAAGAAAGTTTATCTCTTCTTCTCTCTTCATCTTCCCCGTGCTCTCTAAGCGTACAGCTCACAACCTTAAGTCGCCGGCCGCAATGGTGTCGACCGTCGAGCCTGAGCAATCAACCGGCCATTGCCAACACGTCCTCGTCATGCGCCACAGCAACCGTGCCGACGACGGCGTCGACGAGTCGTGGTGGACCAGGGTCTCCAAGCCGTGGGACGCTCCATTGACCGATGCGGGCCGGATCAAGGCGCTCGAAACTGGCCAGAAACTCCGGGCCGAGCTCGGGTTCCCGATCCACCGGGTCGTCTCGTCGCCGTTCCGACGGTGCATCGAAACTGCACGGGAACTGATCGCCGGGCTCTCCACGGAGGGCGACGAGGCCATGAACGTTGTGCTAGATGATGGCAATTGCACTGACTCATCAGCATCAGGAATCAAGGTCAAGTAATCTCTCCAAATCCGAATGGGTTTTGCTGAAAGTTCTTGATCTAGGTTCAGCTTTGATCTATTGCCATATATACTTTCCGCGTTAGACTCAAACTCCAAAGACCTTTTCCGCACAAAAGAACAATATGTTGAGACAAGAACGAAGGAATATTTAAGAGCTGACCGATAAACTATTTGCAGGTATGCATAGAATATGGAATGTGTGAGGTGTTCAACGACGTCGCATTGTGGTATCATCCCACGGATCGTGATTCATGGGGATTTGACATCGAAAAGCTCGAGGATTCATTTCCGGCCGGCATCGTGGACCTCGCGCCGCACCGGGTGTTCAACGAGGTACGAAGTTTTTATACGGCACACCTTGCTTAAAAATTGAATTATGAATTTTTTAGGAATCATACCCCTGGACGAAAAATGCTCCTTGGCACTATCACGGAAAGTCGCACATGCTCGTTGGCAGGCGAGTTGGGAGTGATTTGAGACTAAGGGCGCGTTTGGCAAGTTACCAAATAGTAATTATTTCTGTTCTTTTATTTCCAGAATCAGTTTTGGAACAGAAATCCGTTTGGTAAATTTTTTGTTTCCGAGCATGAATTTGCAAAAATTTCTTCCCAAAATCAGTTTTGGAACAGAATCAAGAAGCAAAAAAAAGTAATTTCTTGATTCGAGGAACAAGAATTTTTTTTTTCTTCTTCTTCTTCTTGGTTCTCTTCTTTCTCCTTGGTTTCTTCTTCTTCTTTATTCCTGGCCTACCGCCAATCGCCGGCGACCGGCCACAGGTCAGGGCCGGCGAGGGCGTCGCGGCCCTCGCCGGTGGCTAGCCAGGGCCGCCCTCACTGGATCTGGCATGGGCGGCCCGCCGAATCTAGCGTGGGCAACCCTCGCCGCCGCCCTCGCAAGATCCGGCAAGGGTGGCTCGCGGCCTAGGCAAGGGCTGCCCTCACCGCTGCCCTCGCCAGATCCGGCGAGGGCGGCCCTCGCCTAGGCCCCTAGCCGCCCTTGCCCAGGCTGCGCCCTTGCCCAGGCTGCGCTTAAAAGATCAGATTCTGATTGTAATTGCATGGTCTAATGTAGAGTATCTAAATTGCTGTAGCTGCCACAATGGGGAGAAAGCGAATCCAGGGCAACAGATCGATACCTCCGCACTATTCACTCCCTCGTTGACAAATACCCTCAAGAAAATTTGCTGTTCGTCACTCATGGTGAGCTTCAATTTGGCATTTAGTTTCTCTCTTTATAAGCAATTAAATCAAGATTTAAATCCAATTTATGTAGGGTATACATATGGCTAACTTCAATAAACATCATGGTACTGCCTAAAAAAACGCTTTTAACGATACACAGACACGCACATAAGCGAATGACCTCGTAAAAAATTCATATGTCATTAACTTTGCTTCAAAGATCACAGAGGACACTTAGAATATTTGCACTGCGGGCTTATTTGCACCGTTGAAGCATATGGGTCCACTCAAATTTAAAGTGGCGCCTATCAGATTCAACTATTCGTATACACACCTGGTGCGTATGCCAAGTCCTCGTAACATGGTGCGAAAAGTTGAGGTTATTTTTTTATGTTTTCACATGTTTCTAAACCAGCTTCTGGTGCAGGGGACGCAGTAAAATACATGGTCTCGACATATTGGAAGGAGGCAACAGGGTACAAAATAAAAGCTGGCTATTGCGGAAGCGTGCATCTCAAGAGGCAAATTATTAGGAATGGCGATTTGTTCACTGCTAGAAAATTTGGGATCGCAAAGAACCCCGAAGAAACTGGCATCAAGCGTGAGCCGATACGATACGCATGAACTGGTGTTCGCACTTACGGTATGTGATGGTGGAGCATTGGGAGGGTTTGAGTTGCTTTCTATGGTGGTTTTGTCATACAAATTGCGAAATTTTCAGAATATTTCTATGTATCATCGTCACGAGAGATTTGGAAAATAAAGTGAAATATCTTAAATATCTCTAGGAAATATCTAAATATCTTTTACATACCCACAAACTCAAGTGCATAAAAAATACATGTCTAGATAGTGCCGTGAACACTTGTAACGCCATGAAATAAGTGAGCTTAGTGGATATGAGGTAGAGTGTCGCGCGGCAACGTGTGTGGCAGCTTTCAGCGTTCTTTCACAACAAAATTTTAGGATGTGGCTTGTCTGATGGCAGAGTCTGATCGTGGTATCAGTTCTCCGATTTGAGTAGCGGTAGGTCATGATCAAACGAAAACAGCATACGGTCGATACGGTTGGCTTAGCTAACTAAAATAGTTACTTGACGAACGCAACTGATGCAGTTGGTTTTGCCTTTGAAGCAGCTAGAACTATCAATTAGAGGGGGGTGAATAGGTGATTGTAAAAAACTTGCCAAATAAATGCGGAATTAAAAGTGTCGAGTGAATATGAATGTGATAGTGAGGAAACAAAGCGTTGATTCCGATAATATCCAAGAGTGCAGTAATGAATATGATTAGAGATAGAGGACAGTGCACTTAGAAATTATAGTGGTTCGGCTTAGTTTAAGCCTACGTCAACTTTCCCAGCTAACAGCCTACTGGTTCAATCATTAACAAGTTACAGTTGTAAGTACTACTTATATTCAAGCACTTCTTGTAACGACTCGGTCCGACGAGGGTGGAGAGTGGTTGCCGGGGCTAGAGGGCCCGGACAAGGAGCTCCTGGCAGGTTTTTAGGATGACGAAGGGGGTAGGAATGAACTGAACTGTGCATCTAACAAGGGGAGAGCGATCGAGATATATATATATCTGTGTGTGTGTGTGTGTGTGAAAACTGGAATTAACTCACGGAGGCACCTTTTGATGTAACGGCATGCTTTGCTTTTGAATTCCAAAGTTAAGTGAGCCCAAGTTAGAGCACTACCAGGATGGGTGACCTTCTAGGAAAGTGTTTGCCTGTACGCCAAAGGACAAAACTGTGAGACTCGATATGGGACGGGCCAAAGCAAACAATACCTCGAGTAAGTTAAATCTAGGGTGTCACACTTCTTCTCAAAGTAGATGTTGCTTATATCTAAGCAAATAGAACTCATTATCTCACACATAAGCACAAACTTTCACACTACCAAGACTTTTAAAGTGCTTAGAAGACAATTCGAATGATGTGAAGCTCTCTCAAAAAATGGAATTTTGAATTCTCGATCTCTCTGTCTCTTCAGCGCCTTGGTCTTCTTTTATACTCTTTAGCATCCAAACTTCTCATTGGACAATTTTCAAAAGGATAAATCCCCAATCTAACCATTGGACAATTATTGAGAAAATTAGGTAGCCGTTGAGGTCAATCAATCAAGATCCTCGTAGATTTGGTCGCTCATACAATCAAATATTGATTCCAAAAGCAAAGTGGCTCGTCTATGGAATGTATCTTGCCCTCGGGATGATTGTCAATCAATCAAAATATCTCACGTGATTGAATATTTCGAGTAGATAATCCTAGTCCATAAAAATCTTCCAAATAAGGAATTCATACCATATTACAGGCTATCAAGAGATAAAATATCTAAAGATAATATTCTTGATATTCATGATAAAATGTTGTTTATAAGTGCGTTGCTCATATTCCTATATCCAACTGTTGATATCCAGTGTATACTTTATTGATATCTACTCACTAATCTGCTTATATCCACGCGATGCTATCTCATATCCCCGTAGAACGTTGCTAATATTCATGTGATACCCTGTTGATATCCATGCAGTATTATGTTGATATTCAAACGATAGATACACCTGACTTAATATATGAAATTGTTCTCTTGGAGATATTTTGATTAAGATATTGATGTAGATTCTGTAAACTCAACACCCTTTGGTATATTCAAGATTAAGTGTGCTCCACAAAGGTTCTTCAAGTTAATCAGAATCTTTTTACCAATTATATCAAAATTCTTTTTCAATGTTGATACAATCTGAAATACAAAAAACTCTTGCATTTATCAAGATCGAAAGAAACCATAAATAGTTCCTTACCAAAAAAAAAAAGAAACCATAAATAGTTTTGTCAATTTCAAAACATAATAGAGTTTTTCTCAATAACTTTCAAAATAATTATTTGAACAATGCGGCTTGTACGGCTAGCATCATAATAACCAAGCTAAGAATCGGAGGGAAACGGCAAGCGGCCAATGCGGCTAGCTGTACTGACGAAACAATAATTGGGCGACTTCCTCAGAGCGATGCGTGTGAGTGAACACTATTGCACATCAAGGATGGACTCAAATATGCATCGGGTGTTGTTGGGTGTGCACTAGGGTGTTTATGGGAGTGCACCCTGCACTCAATGCACTTAAGATTTCTTCATTTGGTGGCTCTGATACCAAAATAAGAAATATATGCAAAAAATAAGAATTGGGAAATATTCAATATATTTTGATATATCATAAGAGTACATCAACCTATATATAAGTACATAATCAAATGGACATATGGAGAATCACCTAGATATATGTATTATCATAAAAGATATGTGATAATCAATAGATATTGTCACGCCCGTACCCTACGAACACGTAACATCCCGCCGCGGTCGTTAAGAATGCGACTCCCAGATTCGTCGCCGACCCGTTACCATTGAAATAAGAGAAAATACGCGGAAGCCAAAAGAACACTCCATTCAACAAACATTCAAACGGGATAACAGAGAGAGAATTTAAACAAACCAACGAACTATTTTATAAACTTAACATCACATACAACGATAGAATATACAAGCCCCAAAGCCACAAACCAAACGCAACCAAAGGGAGGGACAACCACAAAAGGACCCAAAAGACAACCCTATCAAAACACAACACGGGCCGGCCCACTAAAAGCCACGGAAGGACCCATGGTCCGACCCGGCACCAGCCGGATTAACACGGGGATAATCCAAAGATCCCAAATCCTAAACCACGTCAGGAACATCAAACCCTCAGAGGACCAAAACCCGTCTGAAACCAAGCCATACTAGAGCACCCAGCGAACCAAACCGTGCCATACCCGATACACCCCCCACGGGTCCACCCAATCCCATCTCCGTTGGTACCAAAAGCCATAATCAAGGAGGGTCCGAAAATGTTTAACAAGGAATGAGATAAATCTCAAAAGCAAGCCGACAGCAACACCCCGGCACCTAACATGCCATCTAACCAAAGGTTAAGCATCCAACGGACAAGACCACAACTATGCAAGTCTCAATTTGTATCACAACCATGGCAACTATCAATATGCATAACATCAATAATAATAATCCAGACATAATCAATCATTCACACGAGTCTCGATTATAAGATGAAATCACTTCGCCCGTCCCATACCGTGCCTCACGATTTTATCCTATAATAAAGCTCAAGCATACCATATGCACATAACACTCGAAGTTGTCCAGATTATTAACGACCCACCATAGGTCACACCGAACTCCCGCCGTCTTCCCATAGCCAGCATCACCCCACTACTTTGGGCGTGGCAACGTCCGGATCGAACCCCCCCGACAAGTCGGGTACCGGACGGCATCCCATTTAGGAGCATCGATCCGGTCTCCACCGCGATCGGCAATGTCTGGGATCGAACCCCCGACAAGTCGGGTACCGACAAAGATCCGAACTTCCGCGGCATCGTCTAGAACTCGTCTTAGACGGAACTTATCATGGTCACACACGTAAATAACCACGCATTGCCAATTTTAATCTTCTTAATTAGCCAATGCAAGTGTTTATGACGTGCAATGTACTACGAATAAATATGCCATGAATCGCACTCGTTTCGCATCAAACATCGATATATGATCACGATACGCCATGCCAAGCCAACAATAGCCATAATTAACCACACGATCTTCGTTCTAGGCCACGAAATCATCATCAAACTATACGATCAAGACATAGTCAACTAATCAGCCATGATTAAATAAATTAACCATACGATCAAACCAATTAACCATGCGATCAATTTTAAACAACTAATTCACCACACGATCGTCATTAAACCTTTAATCGACACATAATCGACTAATTAGCCATGCGATTGCCAATCAAAGTCACCCGATCAATCTCAAATCTCTAATAAGCCATATGATTAACTTTTATCACATCTTAATTTAATCTAAACCGTAGGATCAAAATTAGCACCTAATCATGATAATTAAGCCCTAAAATTAACCTTAACCATTCTAGAACCAATGGGGCCATATGATCAAAGTCCAAGTCATCCAATTCAGCCACTACCACATGATTATTGCAGCCACAAGACTAACCCACGAATTTAATTAAAACAATCACTAAACAACCATAATTAGCCAAATTAAGCACAATTAGCAACATTAAACATATGATCAAGCTCAAATAACATAATCTACCTATCTTAACATTCAAATCAGCCACATAATTATCAAATCCATCCACCAACAATTTCTCAATTCAACTTATGCCATAACCCCTAAATTAACCCCTAAAATAACCCCTAAATTACCCTAACAACCCCTAAACACTATCCATTGGTAACCTACTAACCTAATCAAGGTTTAGGGAGTTACTTACCACTAATATAAGCTAAGAATCAAGCCAAACCCAGAGCACCCGTCCCGGCCAAGCCAAGAGCTCCGGCGAACGGCGGCGGCCCAAACGGCGATCCGGCTGAACGGCGGCCGCTCCTCGGGTGTGAACGGCGGCTTGCGGGCGGCTCACGGTGGTCCACGGTGGTCCAAGGTGGTGGCGTGAGGGGCTGATGGGTGGTGGACGGTGGTGGGAGTGTCTCGGCCAAGAGAGAGGAAGAGAGAGAGAAAAAATGAAGAGAGAGAGAGAACAAGGGAAAAGTGAGGAGAGAGAGTGTGAATGAACATATCTCACCAAAATGGAGGGCTAGGATGAGTCCTGATGCCCAAGTATTGATCCAAGGCTAGAAATGCATCTTGACAAAAGTCTTCTAGAAGAGCATTTTTGTAATTAACCAAAAGGCAAGGGCAAAGTTGTCCAT